AGATAGATAGATAGATAGATAGATAGATAGATAGATAGATAGATAGATAGATAGATAGATAGACAGACAGACAGACAGACAGACAGACAGATGATATAGATAGACAGACAGAATGGATAGATCAACAGACAGACAGATTTGGATGGATGGAAAGACAGAGGGACAGATAGACGATAGATACACATAGAGATGAATAGATAGACAGACAACCCCCTCGCTCTCCACAACCAGAGTGTCCCTCCAGGTTGCCTTACTAGACTGTGATTTCCCGCCACCTTCTTAACCACCGGAGCCGTCTTGGAAACCGGGAGGGGCGGTTTCGCCCGCCCGGTGCCCGCTGCGGAGTTCTGAGTCCCAGGCGGGTCGAAGATGGGCCCCAGCAATTTCTGGAGATCCGGACTGCAGAAGCGTTTGGGATCCAACTGCAATTCCTCCTCGCTGATGTTGGCCGGGCGCAGGAAGGCCAGGATTTTGGGACCCCGAAGCTCTGGGGAGCGAAAGCGTCGAGGGTTCAGTTAGGGGAAGGGGAAGCTGGCAATCCCACCCACCCCCATTTCCCCCCCTCCCACTGCCCTCTTTCCTCACCAAAGCTGAGGTTGATGATGGTGTCTCCTCCGTTGGGATCCATCTCCTCCAAGGCGCTATCGGAGTCGAGCCCTTCGAGGCAGGGCGGGGGCAGCCGGCGATGCTCACCTTGGCGGTCCGTTTGCTCCAGGGACAGGACCAGGCCATTCTCTTCCACCTGGCTATGGGAAGACATGGAGACAACATGGAACCCTTCAAGGTAGGCCAGGTTGGGAAACAGACAATAGACAGTTGGGAGTTTCTCCACAACTATTGTGGCTCTCGACAACAGGTTGCTCAAACGTGGCAACTTTCAGAATTGCAATACAATGCAATAGCAGAGTTGGAAGGGGCCTTGCGAGGTCTTCTAGTCCAACCCCCTGCCTAGGCAGGAAACCCTATACCGTTCCAGACAAATGGCTATCCAGCATCTTCTTAAAGACTTCCAGTGTGGGAGCATTCACAACCTCTGGAGGCAACTTCTGTTCCACTGATTAATTGTTCTAACTGTCAGGAAATTTCTCCTTAGTTCTAAGTTACTTCTCTCCTGAATTAGTGTCCACCCATTGCTTCTTGTTCTACACTCAGGTACCTTGGAGAATAGTTTGACTCCCTCTTCTTTGNTATGTGTGTGTGTGTGTGTGTGCATTATTATCATTGTTAATCATTTATTTGACTATAAACTATTATTACTTTGTCTTATACATAATAATTAAAATTTAACTAAGTTTAATTTAATTTTTATAATGACATTTCATTTCATCATCCTGTATAGTGCAGTAGTAGTGCAGTCCTATATCTCTTGCCATTTGTAGAATTTGGATTCTAATTGTTTTCTTGAAAAGTCTTATATGGACTTCTTTTGGCAATTTGTTGTTCATTGCATATCTTGTAAAGACTTGAAACTCCCCATCTGCTCCTTTCATCAGCTTGCCTTTAGTTATCACTGGTACTTCTGTCAAAATTTTTCTCATTATTTCTGCCAGATTTCCTCCCTTTTCTTCTTCCATATTTTGAAGTCTGAGATAGAGTTCCAGTTCGTCAACCTCTCCTTTCGATATTCCATTCCTATCATTTTCCTCCATGCTCGATTTACTGTTAATGTCAACAATTATCTTATCACTTTGTTCATATTTTCCTTCAATTTTTTGAACTCTATCCTCAAATTTCATCATAGTTTTAGAAATATTCTCAAATCTTCCCTCCATTCTTTCTGTTCTTTGTTCTATAATCTCAAATTTCTTTTCAATGTTTTCTGTACTTATTTGTAGTTTCTGAATTTCTAGCATAATTATTTGCAATGTTAATTTCTTTTCTCCTTCACGTTGTGCCATTCTTCCAAGTTGTAAACACTGCCACTAAGACATCCAAGGCTTTTTGTTAGGTTTCAAACAGACTCACTGTAATCTTTCAAGTCAAGCCTTTCTCTTTACTCCAGTCCAGCTACTGATAGTTCTCCAGAAGAGCACCTGCATAAACAAACAGTGTTCTTCCCACTGTCCCATTCAATAAACAAAGTCAGAAGCCTTGAAATATAAGATGCTTCCAAGCCTCCAGCCTCTTGGTGGCAGTGTTACTTCTTTTTCCTTTGTTTTTACCCCTCTCTTTAAGCTTCGAAGTTGAGAAAAGAAAGAAAAAATGCTTAAAAGGTACGATCCAGCCGAGCATTGAAAAGAAAGAGATTCTTGATCCACAATACAAAAAATGGGGAAAAATAGAAGAAGGGGGAAAAAAACCAGTCCAATTTAAAAAGTAAGAGGCATTTGTAAAATTCCACCCCCCCCCCCAAAAAAAAAAAGAAAGATAATACATTGATTTTAATCCAGGCTTAATTCACTGCTTATTTTCTTCTGTCTTCAATTTTAATTTTATTTTAAATCTTTTTTGGGTATTCCCTTCTCTAATATTAAAATTTATCTCACCATTTCAACACACTCACTCTCCTGCTTT